TTTGTCCTAACTGTTCTAAAATGATACGGCATTCTGTGAGTTAGGGCAGCTGATTTTCCAATGCAGGGCGCCAAAAGACTGTCCCATAAAAATACTTCCCATCGTTCAGACCACTGTGGTCTCACCCCCGTCACTGACACTCCTGCTTCCTCATTTCCTCCTCTTTTCCCTCCTTCTGTTTCTCTGCTCTTCATCTCTTTTTTGCCTCCCATACACTTTCCTATCGTTTTTCTTGTTTCTTTTTTTTCTCCTGTAATTTTTTGAAAGCATAAATATCTTAACTTAACTCTTCTGCAATAAAGGGCTGGGATCAACTGAACCATTAGCTATAGTATGCTCTGATCTCACATTCCCCATTCTCCATTAACTATGTAATAACACATTTCAATAGTCAATTTAATGTTAGACTGTCAGGTACTTCTTAAGAATTAACCAACCCTTCAGTCAATTTTTTTAATCAAAATTTTAATGCCATTGAAAAAGAAACAAAATGCAGTACGCTGTGATGAAGGACAAACCTATGAGATCCCTACCAGAGGGGAGAGAGACGGATAATTCTGAGAGCTTTATGGCTAGCTGGCGTTGCTGAAATAGAGTTTCTTGTTCAGTGAGAGACCCTGTCTCAAAGCAATGAGATGGAGAGCACAAAACAAGACAACTGGAGCCGGGCGGTGGTGGCACACACCTTTAATCCCAGCACTCGGACGCAGAAGCAAGGGGATCTCTGTGAGTTCGAGGCCAGCCTGGTCTACAGAGCTAGTTCCAGGACAGGCTCCAATGCTACAGAGAAACCCTGTCTCAAAAAAAACAAAAAACAAACAAACAAACCAAAAAAAGTACAACTGGAATCCTGCACTAGCCTCCAAAAGTGCACACACACACAAACACAATCTTGGGTCTTGCTTGGAAAAGTCATGTCTGAAGACCAGCGGTGTGCTACCGTGTGGGCAGGAAGCAGACAGAGAAGTCTGTGGGGACTTCTTAGAGGATGCTGCTGGGAAAAGAGTTGAGAGACCCTCACATGTCTTCAGCAGCTACTGGGGGAGGGAACCTGAAAACCCTAGGAACCATTTCCATAGAAACAATATCCAGTATTTATAAATTCCAGAGATTGAAAATGAAGCCTAACCATCATAACCTCTTAAGTGATGGAAGTCCTCTTCATGTTTTCTATTAATAGCTGAGGTTTTAGAGGAGGTTCCTTTGGTGTTTAAACACAGGTAGTGATGATCACTGATTTGAGGGGTCTCATGGCCAAGGACTGATAATTGAGTGCCATTCTGGAGGGGAGCAATGGACTTTACTCATTTATACAAGATTTACAAAGAATATAATGAAGAAATGTGAAACATTCTGATACTTAGAAATTTCTTATTATTTTTGACTTTGTGACCATTATATTTTGGGAGCACTAATATGTAGTTAGGTTGGAGAATTTGGGGGATTACCAAGCTTAGAAATGTAAATAGAGTGGATACATGTTGCAAGCATGAATTATTATGAGAACAAAGTAAAAGCAATTACTTTTCTGAGAAGATAAAAATAAATTGCAATTTATAGATTATACATAAATTTATGAACTGTGCTGGATTTTGCAGCAAACAAACAGGTCCACGACTGCAGGTCTGCAGGCTCGAGTGTCAGCGCTCCTGTCCCCCACAAGAACCGGATGGATATCAACTATTGGTAGACAATGGCTGTGGTGCATTTTACCTGAGAGGATTCCTTAACTGATTCCGTTGCAACCTCCGTTTCTCACACCTACTGCGGTGCAAGCTCATCTCGTTGTCCTTGGCCCTTGCCTCCTCTGCACCTTCTGATTGATGTGTCCTTTCTATGTGTCCTGGTTAGGTTTTTGTCAAGTTTCCTGTAGGCAAATCTCTGTAGAACATTTTCTTGATTAATGATTGATATGGAAAAGTCCAGACTACTGTGGGCAGTACCATCTGAGTTGGTGGTTGGGTGGCAAAAGAAAGCAAATTGAGCAAGCCTTGGAGAGCAAGACAGTAAGCAGTGTTCCTCTATGGCCTCTGCTTCAGCTCCTGCCTTGAGTTCCAGCCCATGTGTCCCTTCACAAAGGACTGTAGTCAGGACATGTAAGACAAACCCTCTCCGTCCCTTCCCATCCTGCTTTTGGTTATTGGTCTGTTGCTGTTTTGTTTTTATTCCAGCAACAGAAAACCAATCAGGACCTCATGCTTCATCATTCCACATACAGAGCTAACGAAAAGGATTTATTTGACTATTTCATGCTCATTCATACAGAATATTCCTCTGGGCCTTAAGCATCTTTCCTAAGCCGCAGGTTCCAGCTCACCCAGGACACCATGCAGGAGGCTGAGTACCACACCTTGCAGCTACCTAGAAATGGTGTGGAAGCTCCAGACCCCTTTTGTTCTGTCCACTCAGTTCCCCAGACGTCGAATAGGAGACTGTCAAGGTATATGCAGTTACTTTCTATCTGAAATTGTCTGTGCAATCTAAAAAGCACAGGTTCTTAAAGACTGACTCTACAGAGAGAGTCGCAATTCTCTGCCACCCCTCATCCTATTTCCTTCTTCTTCCTTGGTCACTCCATCACAGTTCCGCTTTGTGAAGCATCAGCCCTTGGGCAGAAAGTCCGTCTGGTGACTCCTGAGGGAAGACCCGGACTAGCATCCTAGACTAGTGATGAGGGTGGTGAAGTTTCCTGGGACCAAGTCAGCTGGAAGCTATGGAAAAAATGAATGGAGAGGCTAGTCAGGGCTGTCCCGTCTCTTTCCTTTGTATGGCGTGCCAGGGTGAGCTTCAGGTCTACTGGTTGTTTCTCCAAGAAGTGTTTGCATTGGCAGGGGTGACAACAAGACCGAGATGTGTGGCCTAACTCAAGGATGCGTGGCTAATAAAAAGCTACATTTTCCTGACTCTGGAGACATGCTCCAGACCCGACTGTCTGCATTACTCCACCCTAGCTGCTTTGGACTGCACTCCAATGATACAGAGTCAAGAATAATTACCGTGGGCAAGCTCAATCAGCAGAATTCTCTTCCCTCTTTTGATAAGGGCGAAGAAGATCTCTTTTGGAAGAGACCTGCTTTGTGCTATGGCTCATACAAAACATAAGTGCCATGTTTTAGTAAAGTATGAGACCACAATAAGCATATACTAGGAGTCTTAAAATGTTAGTGTATCAAGCACATATAAATGAAAGGCACACTTTTGGCATTTATTTTCTAGATTTGTTTTGTCTTTGCTGCGCTTGAATTCCTTTTTACAAAATGTAAATTTGTTATATTATCTTGGACATATCTACCAACCTAAGATAAATGTTTATAGTAAACAAGTATGGGAATTCTTGAGACTCCTTAGGTTATTTATCTTCAGATTTCTATTGCAAACAGTTTAAGCGCATCCAGAAGATAACGTATGGTCGAAATTGCATCTTTCCAAGAGGAAAAGCCTCTTCCCAGTCCTGAGAGTCGCTTCTCCCAGCAGTTAGGACTGTAAGCACGATGGCTGTCCTTTCCGTTGGCTTTATTCATTTGGTACTCACTATTGTTAAGGGAGCTTTGTGGGTTAAAATTTGCACAATCCTTATTGAAGAAAGGTAAAAAAAAATCCTTTTATAATCATCATACACCTGTATAAGGCTGTAACTATTTCCAATATTTTATTTGTTTCCTGAATATAGGCATGTGTGTGTACGTATGTGTGTATGCGTGTAGATGTAACTGTGAGTGAGCAAGTGTATGTACTAGCATGTATTCATCTACATCAACCAAGCAGGAATGTACATTTAGCACCTTATAAAGGTGTTCTCGGGGACCAGTGAAGAGAGCTAGAAAATGATGAAACAGTACTCAAAAAACCTTCGGGTCTTGTGAGTACTGTGTGTCAGTCGAGGAGACCCTACTCGTAGAATCTCACTCGTTTTCCATAGGTCAGGAAATTAGAACTGAACCGCTCTCGCCGAAGCCAACTAGCTGGACCCTTTGGGTGCAGCTCAGGAAGTTTTGTGTTATAAGACCATTGTGTATCAGCAGTGGGTTTAGAAAGATGAACATGGCATCCTTTCTGCCTTGGAGAACTCTTCTACTGGAGATCACAGGTACGTGGTGAGCTACTATGACTCAGTCTGGCCAGTGAAGCAGTGTGATTAGGGTACAATAGAGAGACTATTCCTGGCCCAGGATTGAAGGCTGTTTTCCTGGGGCTCCTTTAAAGAGATATCTTGCCAGAGCTTTGTGTTACTGGAGAAGTGTAAATTCCTGTGGACAATTAGTTCTAACTGAAGCCTTACTTTCACAGCATCATTTGTCAAAATGCTGATTGTTACTTCTGTTTTCAGGGGGCTTGTGTGGAAGTTTGTCTGGCTGCTCTCTGCATCTCCACAGTGATGTTTTGATGATGCCCCATACAGAGCTGATCTTAGAATAATGTGGTATAATGTGTCACTTTGTGTCACTGTTGAAAATGAGAATCTGTGTGAGTACAAAGAGGGTCATCTTCATGATGCAGGTAAAGAGCCTTACTCTTAGGTCAGGCTGGTATCTCAGTTGATGAAGTGTTTTCCTCATAAGCATGAGGACCTGAGTTCAATCCCCATTGTCACATGCAAAAAGCTGGCACTGTGTTATAGGCTTGTAATCCAGCACTGGGGAAGCAGAGTCAGGAGGATGGTCGTTCCACAATAATAGTTTGCTAGCTTCACTTTTGCAAATAATATTTTTTCCCAGTGTCTCTCAACAGAAAGAAAGTTACATCAGAAAGCAATGCAACTTGAGACATTGTCAAAAGTTTAGGAAATGTTTTGAAGTGTCTGTTTGGAGAGAGGGGGGGGCGCTCTGAGGAAGACCCAGGTTGGTGTCATGGTTCAGACATCCAAGCACAATCCAGGTGGCATCTCCTCGGGTTCTGGCTTCTTCTGTATGTCATAGAGGTTACAGGACTGGAGAGACAGCTCCCTGAATAAAAATGTCCCCCACCAACATATGGTGGCACACAAAGTAAATAGATAAAGATAATTTCTCATCTATTTTATTTTTTTAAAAAATGAGACAATGACATCAAAGTGGCAAATTTTCACATATCCTGTTTACTTGCTAACACAGAAGGCAGAAATGGTAGAAAAACTCCTGTTAAGGTAAAACTCCCCTTCAACACAAAGCAGAACCGACTGGCGGGTGAGCAAAGAAGGCGTGGGGTGAGTATGACTGTACAGTTCCCAATACTTGTTTTCCACTCAAGCCTTGAAGCAATGCCAGAAGAGGCGATCCTAAGTTTATCTGTAGACGATACTGGGGGCTCAGATTGTCCTCCCCTCTGCACCCAGGTGAGACCGGAAGCCAGAAAGCTAGACAGTTGCCCCAGACACACATATTGGCAGTGCAGGAGAGAAAGAGTTTCAAGATGAGTCTATCTGACTCCAAAGCTTCTAGCACATTATGTTCCATTCCTTAGCACCCTCCCCAGTCCCCTTCCTGTCCCCTGGAGGAGGCTGTGGCCATCTGGAGGTAAGATCCCAATAAGGTTATTTCAGCTGATTTTCTCCTCGACTTTGGAAGCCAGCATTCCTGTTGCTTCCCCTGTCAGGGCCCTGTCACCCCCACATTGTTAGGCAAGGAAAGGACCACCCCTGCTATGTTGACAAGAAATAAGCTTCTAATTTGCAACACTTCTTTATATGGCTTGTCAGTTCTGAGCTCCCACCAAAGAAGGATTTCCCAACAGTTCTGGCCACCTTATGCTGTTCCAGGCGCCTTATAGCTTTCCTGGGCTATGGTATTGGGAAACCCTCGCAGAGACCCATTCTTTGCCCTCTGTGTTAGTGCCACCAGGGTTTGTCCTCCCCTCCCCCATTTCCTCTGATCTTCAAAGAAGTCATATTATCTTCCATCATACACCAGGCAGCATGCGGCTTTGGGTTACAGAATAAAATAAATCACGATAGCCAGCAAGCAGTCTGCTGCTTTGGTTGTGCACGCAGAAACAATCACGTAGAGTGTTGTCAGGTCAACTAGGAAAAGAATTTTTCATTTGGTTTATGTCCTGGGATTGTTTGCTAAATGGGGAGAGGTTTCTCTTGACTTGAATGACAGACAGCCGGTTTTGAGGCTTCCTTGCTTCCATTCCACAGAGGACTGCTGCTTCTCCCGTAAACTACCCAGTGTGTGCCTGAAAAAGATTAAGGTAGTCGGCAGCGTGGGAGGCTTTCATCAGAATTTACTACTGTTCAAAGCCTCCAGAACGGCGCTCATTTAACTCAGGCCTTTGTATTCCTACCCATGAAAATTGTTCGTACCATGACCAATCTGATACATTGTCAGTGTGCTTCATGGAATATTCCAAACTAGACCACAGTGAACCATCTCCTCGGTGGGAGGAAAGGGGGAAGACATGGGTCAGTCAAAAAACAGAAGTGGCATTTGAATTCTGTGTGGCATTTTCTATCCAGGTCAGAGCTCGCTTAGGCCGGCAATGATGGGGACTCTGTTTTGACAGTTAAGAGAATAACTTCGATGGATGCTCCCCTGCCATGTGGAGTTTGACAATGAACCAAACTTTCAATTAGCCTCCAGGAAAAGACTAGGGTCTAAAATGTACAGTCTTTTGTCTCCATTGAAAGCCCAACACCTGCCAATTACCACTGCCTCTCTAACTGTTAGATGCGTGCTTTTCTTTCATATAGTGAAAATCTTGCTTAGCATCTGGCAGAGCTGCGTTCTGAGAGAGGATTGTATATACTCACTCCTATGTCTTTATAATTCTTTGATTTAAAACATCTTAATGTTCATTAAACTCACATCTCTCCCCCAACCCCCACCCCACCCCAGCCCTCACTTGCAATCAGTACTATTTAAATCAACTCTAAATACAAAAGAAAGGAGGCAGGAAGGAAAAAAAACTGTCCTTCGGGGTGGGCAACCAAGGGCTGGTTGTGTGTTGTTGTAGAACACTGTCTCTGCAAACTGATGAGGAATGAACAGACGCTTCATGCTCAGAATGTGCGCTGGGCCCTGAGCAGACTAGTGCTCAGAATATGTCCACGATTTGTAAACGCACAGAGGCTACGGTTCTAATGCCTTAAATGCTAACAATAAAACCTTGAAGCCAATCTGCATGTTAAAAGCGGGCACTGTAAATCACGCTCTGAAGGGGGTAATGTGAGCAGGAGCTGGAATGGGAAGCCTGGGAGAGCTGGGGCATTGTTTTCAGACTGCGAGTATCAGCCTTAACTGGAGGGTCCAAAGAATGCGCCCTTCTAGATTGCAGCTTGTGCCCTGACCCTGTGTTTTAAGTTCATTTGGGGACCACTTCTTATCCAGTCCTCCTTGCATCCTCAGAGAAATTTGTTTATGTTCCATCAGTTGCGCTGGGAGCTGGTTAGTAATTTAAATTGTGTTAGTTCTGATAAAGGGCCTTGGCAGCTTTTAGTGATTAACTTTGTAAAAAATTTCCGTCACTCACACTCATCTCCTCCAATCAGTTTGCTAAGTACTGTCACTTGTTAAAAACAGAAAAAAGAAAAGAAAGGGAGAAGAAAAAACTAGTGTGTGTTACCATAGCAGCCCCCTCCTGTGTGATAACATGTAATCTCCTGTGTGGGGTGGAATCTGTATGCCCCACTGGGCAGTGGCTGAACCGAGATAGTGCAGAGGATAGCTCAAAATGAATATGCAAATTTTCCAACTTTGGCTGAAAATTGACACACTGTTTTTTTTTGACAAGCTGATCAAGAACAACAATCACATTTAGTACAACCGACCTCTCAGTTCCCCCAAACCTTGCGCATATAGTGGGAGCAGGAGAAAAAAAGATTAGCCTATTATTTCTATTTACCAGGCTATAATGTTCTGAATATATCCTGAATTTATTTTCCTGTTTTGGGAGTTTACTGTCCTCTTCCTAAGTTCTCCCTCCCCCATTAAATTATTGATCTTTTTCTTTTTGGTTCATAAAAATTCTTTAAATGAAGAAGCTTAAGGTGCTGAGGAAAGACCTATTACAAATGGATTTCCCAGTTTGTATGCAACATCATGTGGGGGTGGAGGCTGCTAGACCATTCTTACACACAGACTCCTTAAACAGCATAGGCAAAACCCTTTCTCGGCCCCTCAGTCCAGCACAATGCCTGGCATGGCTGGCAGCTTTGGTCTGCATTGATGAGTATGCCGAACCTTACCCGTGCTTGTATGACAGAAAGCATAAAACACGTCACTCAAAACCTCATTCTTAAATGGAACACCGTGCACACTCCCTTCTCCTAGGACTCGGGGGTCGTTGTAGAAGAGGGGACAAAGGGATTAAGAGCCAGAGGTGGATGACTATATCTAGATGCAGTGGGGCAGCTGCGATTGTCACACAACAGTTGTGACAAGATGCACAAGACTAGCACATGCTCAAGCCAGACAGAGTCCAGCATGGGGAGAGGAGGTGGGCGTGGAGTCACCCAAACTGAAGACCTAACCGAAGACCTATGGGCGATTGGCAGCTGCTAAGAGGGTAAGTCACTGTCTTTAAGGGTATAGCCCTGGTTGGTCAGCCATGTGCTGCCGAAAAGCACAAAGCCAAGAACATATCAGCAGCACAACTGGCCCTGGCCCTGGGGGGGGGGGACACCAAGTTGGACTGAGAGTGAAGTGAAGGCGAATCTGGAGGAGTTGGGGATAGGCATGAATAAAACTGTATGCAATTTTCAAAGAACTAATTAAAAATGGAAAAAGGTCAAAATCTTAAAGGTGAAAACAGTATTTCTGCTCGTGACGTGTCTTGTGATATACCTTTCAATGACAAGAGGCTTTCTCTAAATCCCTCTCAGTGGAGGAAATATATTAAAACCACAGCTGGTTTGTTTTCTGACATTATTGCTTGTTTACAAAACCAAACCTGTTTTGATTTTTGGAAATAAATTCCTCTCTGTTGAACCGAAAGGTGCATGTTAGTTGACAGGAGAAGCTATGTGGCCTTCTTTAGGGAAGCCATTTCTCCCTGCTGGTATCCTGACCCATCTGCATCATTGAGTGTGCTTCTGACGCAGGCAGAGAGGTCTCAGTTGTCCAGGATTTCCCAGCAACCTCCAATGTTATTTGCTATGCCTGACTTTGCAGTCAGTGTCTTCAAGATCAAACATTGCTAATGGCTCTGCAAAATCCCCAGCTGGAGAGTTCCAGATATGCAAAGATGCTTTCTTTCTAGATTACACAGACAAATGTCTCTAATATTTACTACAGCCCACTGTAATGGTGGGGCTGGGTGCACAGCTTACCTCTGGGCGTTCTTTCACAGGTAACGCCAATAGCGGCTCCAGCACTATTCTTCTCGAATGAGCCTTTTCATCTTAACCTGCATGGAACGATTTTTATAAGCATATTAGAATTTCAGGATTGTGGTTCACGAGAACTTACTACATATGCATCTAGGCACCAGCGTTAAAGAAATAAGACAGCACAGAGCTGGGCTCCTCTCTGCCACTGTGCTTAGTATTTCTAGGTCAAAATAGCTCAAAACCTGGAAGCTGTATATGTACTTAAAATGAAAAAATTAATGAATTATTGCATCCATGTCATTAAACACAGTGTGGTTGCTTAAAACAACAAAAGGAGACTAGTGTAATTTGAAAAAAGGTCATTATTATTATGAAAAAAAAAGAGTAAGCTGAAGCCAAATGTGTATGTGTGTGTGTGTGTGTGTGTGTGTCTGTGTGTGTGTGTGTGTGTGTGTGTGAGAGAGAGAGAGAGAGAGAGAGAGAGAGAGAGAGAGAGAGAAATACAAACTCATTTGTTCTTTGAAAATACTAGGGAAAATGCTTAGAGAATTATCATGGTTGTCCTTGGTTATGTATATATTTTAAAATTTGAAAGACCAGGATCATACAAATTTTGAGACGATTCATCTAAGCATTTTCCTTTTAAACTGTACTTATTTCGACTCACCTAAAAAAAATTTTTAAAAAAAGTTTAACTGATCAGTCAAAGAATTTCTAAGGGCAGTGTCAAGAAAAAAAAATACCAGAATGTCCCTTTCTGAAGCATTAATTGTTCTTCCCCCTGCCTCAAGTTGTTGCCCTTACAGTTTTTGTCCTTCTTGACAACCAAGATTTCTGGTGGACTTCCTGCCCTTAGTTTGAGAAAGGATAAGAAAACACAGACGTCCCCCACTGCTCGCTGATAGATGGCGAGCTTATGAGAAGGGATCCCAGGACCCAGTGGTGCAGTTGCCCATCTTGGTAACTGTAATGGGGACAACTGGCTAGTACCTGCTAAGGATTTTCCTGATTTAGGGGATCTTGTGACTTTTGGTGGAAAGCAGAGTCCTTTATCCTCAGTGCTGAGAAACAGTCGCTGAAGCTGTTCTACACAAACAGGAAGATCAGCCGCTAGACTCGCCAGTCCCATGACCACAGTCTATTACGTCACTCCTCTTCTCTGGGCCTCCACAGCTAAAGTAGAGGCAGCACCCACTCTCTACCGCGCACACAGATAAGAGGCTCATCCGAGTCCGTACTGATGCACCTGGCTCACCCCAGGGCGAGTCAGAGGTTATATGAGCGTTAGATTAAACTGAGGAGACAGACGGCAGCGTCAATTTCATTCTTACAGGCCGATCCTTGATCTGGATGATCAGTGCTGTCGGTGACGCTTTAGACGCTGAAAGCAGATCTTTAATAGATGTGTACATGCACGTGATTTATAAGTCAGTTTTTCAACATGGCGCATTAAAAGAAAGTGTCACATCCTGCCCTGTGGTCTCCCCGTTCTTTCATTCCCCAGTGGTGATCTCTTTTAATTCTTTTCTTGAAAAGATGTGTACTTTGTCCAGTTGAAACACCCCTAACGTATAAAATGCAGCCTTTTCCACTAGTTCTTTTTACCACCATTCCCAGATTTCCCATTCTCCAAATATAGCTGTGCTTTAGGGTTGGGTAAATATTGTGAGCATGCAAATATTTTCATCGTTGAGCAATTGCAATATATGATGACCCTTCCTCTTCTTCTTCTTCCGCTTTGTGAAGCTTCCTTGTCTCGAAGTTATTAACTGTCATGGCCTCTTCACCTGCTTGGCTCCCGGTGCACTCACGATCCTCAAAACCTTCGCGGTTTTCTAGCCCTCCTCTCAACAGACACAGACGTTTTGGGTCTACAGGCTTCCTCTTTGTTTCTACCCAGATGGTCCAACGCCTTCCTGAACAGCTCAGTTACAGAGGTTTCCCGTGCATGGTACCGAGTACTCTCCTGAATGTTCTCTTAGGGCTTCAGAGGTTTTAATTTTTCTTCTTGGGGCAAAAGTGATTTTTATCAGCAGCTTCCTGAAAAGGGGGGTGTGAGAAAAATTGCAGCATTATATATCTGAAAACGAATCTCATTTACTTTGTGATCAGAACTTTCAGTTTAAAAGCATATGAGATAATTTTTTCCCTTACTTAGGAAACACTGCTCTTTTGACTTCTTGTGTCCCAAGATGCTTTGCATGATACCAAGTTCAATATCACCTTGATCTCTAAGCCAAAAACTTCACAAGAAGAGACTATAAGCCAGTCTATCTCCTAATCACTGATGAAAATTTCCTCAAGAAGATGTCAGCAAACTGAACAAAACAACTCAACAGGCAGGAGGAAGAGATACGAAAGGACTGTGTGGCTCCATTCCTCCGTTTTATTCATCTAAGGATTCCTCACAGAATGGTGAAGCCCACGTTTAGAGTAGGAATGTTTCTGTAGGGTAAAAGGGCCATGTCACACTGCTTCTGGCCTGCCCCAATCTCTGCATCTTTGAAATCCCCATCCAGTGACTGTTAACTGCCAGAATTTCAGGGCTAATAGCAAGGCAATGCTTCCAGTTGCACTATACCCTTCCACTAGCTCACTGAGCATGCTCCAAAGACCCTCTAAAACTCTGCCCTTCAGCCTAGCCCAGTGCTGCCTCTCTTCCCATTCAGAGGCTTTGTGTCTTTTCCCTAGATATCTCTTGAGTAAGGTCTGTTGCTTGCTGTGACTTTGTGGTATCTCTTGGTGCCTGATTGCCAAGATACCCTTGATGGAGGAGGGTCATCTGTCTATGTATTACTTTCATTGGTTAATAAAGAGACTGCCTTGGCCTTGTTGATAGACCAGCCCGTAGGTGGGTGGAGTAGACAGAATAGAATTGTGGGAGAAAGAAAGCAGAGGCAGGCAGACGCCATGGCTCTCCTCTCCGAGATGGAAGTGGGTTAGAATCTTCCCAGTAAGCCATGACCTCGTGGTGATATATGGATTATTAGAAATGGGTTAATTAATATGTGAGAGTTAGCTAATAAGGGGCTGAAGACAATGGGCCAGGCAGTGTTTAAATGAATGCAGTTTCCGTGTAATTATTTTGGGTGTAAAGCTAGCCATGTGGGAGCCAGGATCCTGGCGGAAACGCAGCCCACTGTTCTTTCTACAAATGGCGCCCAGCATGGTAATGAACTCCACGTAAAACCTGAGAGGGCTTTTAAAAAAGGGGTGGGGGAGTGAATTTAACACAGATTTTCGCTTTTGCTAGAGCTTGCTGTAGAGAGATTTCCTGTTTCAGCAATAGCGACAGGAAAAAAGCTGAGTCATTTTAAAACGCAGCTTTTTGGGCTGTGTTGCCAGTACAAACTCAGGCTATAAAGCATTTCAATGGCTTTTATGAGACTGGATGTTTGTGTGCCCGCTCAGGATCGGGAAGAAAGTACTCTGAGACCATGCCAATGACTCAGCGCTCTCCATCTGCACCTGGGCAGACTGTGGGATCAGGCTTAGGGAAGCAGGAGAGCATGGCCGATTCCTGCCACACACAGAGATGTTTCTAGGCTGTGCAGTGCTCTGCCTGCCTGGCAGATTAGACTGTAACTGAGATAAAAAAGCTCATTCTCAGAGTTAAAAGTGCTGAGTGTAGCTCCTACCTGAAGGAAAAAAAAAAAAAAAGAGCCATGAACTTTTAAAATGCCGGCTTTCTGGGCTATGCTCCTACTGCGACCTCTGTCTCTTGTGGGAGACAGAGAACTTGGATGGGGTTTTTGTGATTAAAACGCTTGCTTGCTTGATGGCAATGTGGACTTGCTATGTGCCTGGAACTGTGCTCGGCTCAGGGGCACCAAATGGCTGAGGCAGGAGCAGCTCTGGCTCTGCCATGCTGAACTGTGCTGATCCCAGGCAGGATCTATCGTAATTACCATAATAACAGCGCAGTTAAGGTTAGACTGGGCAGGAAACAGGTGGTACCATATTATCCCTATGTGGCGCAAGATAAAGTTTTTAAGATGCGCTTAGCATTTTAAGAAGTGCGCCTGGGCAGTAAAGAAGTACAGATTCACAATAGGACAGATTCAGACATAGATGACCTCTATATGGGTCACAGTGTTGGATGAGTATACGTAGGCTTGGGAGAGAGAAGAAAAAGAATATAGAGAATAAAGTTAATGCCTTTAAAAAAGGGTAAAGTCTTTAAAGAGACAGAGTACAGATAGTTATAGATTAAAAGAAATAAAGAAAAATAAGCCACGTAAAAATGGAAAATTCACAGAGGGTCTGGATTATGTATTTTATTGCGTTTTCTTTAAAACTTTTGACTGTGAAGGAGCTAAGTACAAGAAAACATTTCATTAAATGGGCTGCTAAGCTGAACCTGTATATATATGTTCTAAAGGTATCTTAACTTCAGAATTTGGATCTAAGGATATCATGCTTTGGAAAAGAGTTTCTTCTTTTGTTTCCACAGAGGATGAAACCCTGTGGATTGCTTCTATCCCAATACGGTATGTTAGACCACGCCCTCCTGAAAGGTGACTGTGAACACCCTCAAAAAATTGCTTCACACAGGATACACCATTGCACCCCTACACAGCAAGAAGAAGTTTGGAGAAAAATAACTATGCCCATATTCCCAAATATTGTTTATAAATATTCTTTTACATTTAAAGGGGGCTATAATATAGATATGAATAATTTGCCTTGGTATGGATTTTAAGGTCAATTTTGTTATATGTATATATATTTCTGATTTTGATTAAGGTATTGTGATTGTGTAGTTCATTTAAAAATATGATGTATAATTAGGAAGCATAGGTTGTTAATGGATAATCATCAATAATAGTCAAGCTTGTAGTCATGTTAGTTAGATTTTTCTAGATATATAGAGATATATTTTAGTTAGATAGGCATTCTTCATATCTTTCAAAGACTACAGAATATGGCATTTAATGTTTTAATAACTTAGGGCTTTTCATGACAATGAGACACATCTGCTCCTGACAGCACCAATCTGCTTCAAGAGGAAGATGGGCATCGAAGAGGCTACTTATGGAGTTTGTTAGCCATTTGGGCAAGAAACTTCTCTTGCCTGGACTGTTGCATAAACTGGACACAGAGAACCTGCAGAGAGCGGACTGCTGAACTTGCCTAAAGGTGAGATGGTCTTTCGGGGTTCCTGATTCATGAAAGAGTCTGCAAGACATTCTGCAGGACACAGCAGATAGTGACTGAACTGCCTTTGAAATTTCCTGCTTCATGGAAATGTCTGCTGGATACTATGGGCCTGTAGGCTGAAGATGGATGCCCCAACAGTACAAAATAACTTTGGGTGACTGTCCAGGCAGCGAGATGTCTCTGTCATTTCTAGAGTTTGGAAGTTGCTTATTTCTTGTTTGCTTAGGTAATAGTATATCCTTCTGGAGTCTTTGATGGAGTTGAAGAATGGAATAGTTATAGTTTTCCTTAGTTATGATAAAAGATAAAGTAGATATAAATATTGTAACTGTAATTCTTGCTTGATAACTGTTTTGTCATATGCAATTTTACTGTGTTAAAGTGAAAGCCTTTCTATTTTTTTAAACAGAAAAAGGGGAAATGATGGAGGAGGGTCATCTGTCTATGTGTTACATTTATTGGTTAATAAAGAGACTGCCTTGGCCTTGTTGATAGGCCAGCCCGTAGGTGGGTGGAGTAGAGAGAACAGAATTGTGGGAGAAAGAAAGCAGAGGCAAGCAGATGCCATGGCTCTCCTCTCCGAGATGGAGGTGGGTTAGAATCTTCCCAGTAAGCCATGACCTCGTGGTGATATACGGATTATTAGAAATGGGTTAATTAATATGTGAGAGTTAGCTAATAAGGGGCTGAAGACAATGGGCCAGGCAGTGTTTAAATGAATGCAGTTTCCGTGTAATTATTTTGGGTGTAAAGCTAGCCATGTGGGAGCCAGGATCCTGGCAGGAATGCAGCCCGCCATTCCTTCTACACACCCTTGTGCCAGAAACTTTTCCACTTTCCATCTCAGTTAACCTAATCTAGAAAACTCTCCAATATGCCCAGAGATGTGTTTCCATGACAACTCTAAAGCTTGTCAACTTGACAGCG